AGTAATACAGAGTACAGAGGCTGGCAGAAGCCAAAACAGTAATAAAAGATGTCCAATGAGCTGTGACAGTCTGTATGCAAAAAGACTTTTCCAAACATATTCACATTCATAAGTAAAACATATGTACAAACAACATATACAGACATTCAGGTTAGGGACCAAATCCCTACCATGATAGTACAGTACAAGTCTTAACATTCTATACAAAACAGAAGCAGAAAAGGGGAATCCAAAACACCCCAAAGCAGCCTTAGCTTGAGCACACTTGGAACCTCGCAGTGAGACACAATGGTTGGCTTGACAAAAAAGGAGTTAACCCAAGGCTCCTAGCTCCGGTCCGGTGCCTGGACACCTACATATATATATATATATATATAAACAATGAGTTAAGCCCAGTGAATAACAGTTGTGTAAAGAGGTTAAGAATGAATGTCCTTTCAGTCAATAAGCAGTCATATCAGTCATTTAGAAACCATAGCAGTCATAGGTGGTACATCCCATAGCACAACAGTACAGTAGGTCTTAACAGACTGAACAGTCAGTTGATGGCCATCATAACAGTAAACAGTAGTGGTTCCAAACATGGAAACCGACAGAGATCTCTGTAACAATAGTAGTAACAGTTCAGTAACAGTAGATTGCTATGGATGCCACGAATTCAGTTCATAAATAGGACAAACATTCATTCAGTAAGAAATATCATTTTAGAAAAGCAGTACAATAGATCATTCAGAAAATATTCATGAGTGAACATATCTTTACAACATTGTTACTCACAGAGCACTGGTCTAAAAGCAGTTAACGAGCGTCCTTGGATGCCAACCCTACACAGTTACAGAATGAACACACACTAAGTTACACACTTGGGAATCAACAACTTAGTCCCTATCTTGACTCGGTGGTTCTACAGCATTATCCTCATTAAGATGCCTTAAACTAGGCCTAAGAATGCCTAGGATGAAATAAGGATACAAATATGCACTTTAAAATATTTTTCAGAATTTTCAGAAAACAGGGGTCTCGCTCGAGCGTGGCTTTCTACGCTCGAGCGGACATGCAGACAAAGGATCTCCGTTCGAGCATGACTTCCTTCGCTCGAGCGGACTGTAAACTCAAGCAAAAGTACTGGATACATGCAATTGATGCTCGATGGGCGCTCGACCTCCGCTCGAGCATGAGACACAAGTCCTCGCTCGAGCATGCATTCCCTCGCTCGAGCGGATTGTAAATATATGAAAAGTACTAGATACACGCATTTCACGCTCGAGCGTTATTTTCCTCGCTCGAGTGGGATGCATGTACTCAGAGTGTACGCTTGAGCGTGAAGTCTTACGCTCGAGCGTGGGTCCAAAATCTGGAATTTCCAGATTGAACCTCCAAGCTCAAATTCAACATTTAAAACATCAAATTCGATTCTTTTGGGCCAATTTTCTGGAAAACACTTTAAAACTCATAATATGACACGTTTCAAAGATCAATTTGCAAAATCAAAGCCCAAAGGTAGTTCAATTAAACACAAATCCAAACAAAACTTCATGAACATAATGTATATGTAACATGCAAGTGTTCAATTGAAATCAAAGCTTCAAATACTTAATCAAATGAGTCAATTCACTCAAAAACATGATGAATTCATAGACCAAAGCTAGAATATAGACATGCATGTAAGAATTTCCATGAAAACAACCTCAAAACTCACCAATGTGTACATGCATGCATGATTCAAGCTTCAATGCAACAATTTAAAACCAATTCTAGACTTAGATCACTAATGGCTCATGGACCATGCAAGATACAACTAGAATTCAAGTTCAAGAAGATGATTCTCCTACCTTAGGTCTTCAATTTCAAGTCTAGAAGCTCAATTATGCAATCTACTCTTCAATTCTTCTAATTCTCCAAGCAATTCTTTGATGAACTCAAGTTTTCTCCTAACTCTCTCTTTCTAGTCGGTTTTGCCTCCAGGAATGAACAAGAATGATGCATCAAAGGCTCCAAGACAATGTTGTAGGTAGTGGCCCACTAATGGCAAAATGGTAATTAAAGCAACTAATGTGATTCAACAATATTTAATCTGATTTAATTGTTCCCAAATCAAATTTAAATTAAACCTAGCATAAAATCACAAAAATTCTAATTAGCATAAAACGCTAATCAATTTCAGTTTCGGCCGCCGATAAGGCCTTCAATTTGTAGCTTAAAACATAAAACATGAACAGATAAATCAATGGCAAATAGATAGAGACGCACTAAAACAACATACTCATGCAATCAGTTTAGGATCTCATCCTAATCAGTTACTTATCATGTTCAGTCACAGTTTAGCAGTAATCAGTGGCGAGGGTTGTCACAAGTCAGTATACAACACAAGTAGCCTTTACATCCCTTCCTAAGCAATTTAACAGCTTTCATGGCCAAAATCAAGTACGAGGGAGAAATTATCCCATTTCCAGTAAAAATAAATTCAGGCATACCAGGTGGTCTAAACACAACAGATTTACTTGCACAGTCAATGGTGGCACAGTATTTAGTCAACCAGTCCATACCCAGAATATAATCAAAATGATCAATGTTCAAGGGCAACAAGTCAACATACAATGTCATATCACTAATCATAATATCATATGCTGGATAAACATAAGCACGTATTATAGAACCCCCAGATGGTGTAGATACAGATAAAACATATGTCATAGGTTCTAGTGGTCTAGCTAATTTCTAAGAGAAAGCATGTGATACGAAAGAATGCATAGAACCAGAATCTATCAGTGCACATGCATTTTGAGAACATATAGGGAGTATACCTGACACCACAACTTCGGTGTTCTGTACGTCACCAGGCACTAAGGCAAACACTCGACCTTGTCTCAGAGGTTCTTGTCCAGTATTAGCTTTTGCATTTGTTTTGACTGTAGAAGTGGACCCAGCTGAACTCGCCATAGGGCGGTTGGCATTATCAGACCTAAGCAGACAGTTTTTCACTACGTGACCTGTCTTGCCACATCGGAAACAAGCACCGGATGCTCGATAACACACACTCCTATGCCTCCTTCTACAATCAGGGCAAACTAGAATAGACTCACTGCTCTGACTCGAACTGCTTGTAGACCCCGTGTTCTGCTTTTTACTTACATAAGAACGGCCCTTTCTAAAACTATACCTAGACCTTTTTCCTCTCCATTCAGTTGTTGTCGTTACTGGGGCCTTACTTTGTCTCATAGCGGCTAGGGTGGCTTCCGCCATTAAGAATCTGTCAAGAACTTGCACATATGTTGGCAACTTTAGTATGCCTACTCGATCAAATATGTCTAAGTCCAATCCTCCTTCAAATTTGCGGGCTTTCTTATAGTCTGTGTCTGCCATGTGAGGAGCAAATCTGGCTAGCTTAGTGAACTTACCCTCGTATTCAGCTACGGACAATCTGCCGTGCGTATGTTCTTGGAATTCAGACACTTTTTGGTCCCGAAAACACTGAGGGAAATACTTTTCATCAAAAGATTTCATTGAATTGAGCCCATGTCATGTTTTCATTGGCATTTCGAATTAGTAACCACCACTTCCAAGCTTTGTCTTTAAGAGTATAGGTGGCCAATAAAACCTTTTGAGTCTCGGTATAGGGAAAAACTTCAAACAACTTTTCCATCTCAAGCAACCATGTTTCCACTTTCAACGGTTCAATCCCACCCAAGAAAGTTGGCAGTTTCATCTTCATGAATTTCTGCGTTAGGTTGATAATGTCATTATTATCGGGTTCAACTTGTACCGGCAGAAGTAGAGGGAGCAAAGGTTGTTGTCTTTACTGTTGTGTCATAGCTTCGGTCAATGCTGCAAGCATCTGTTCCCTTCAGTTCATGTGAGCCTCTAAGGATTCACTTGTATCAATTCCCCTTGCATTCTCCATGTTGCTATAGAGATACCAAATAATAATAAATATGGGAATAATCTCGTTAATTTCTTTTAATTTAATTGTCCAGATTTCAAATTCAGTTTTCACATTTTTAAAGATTACCACACACTTACACATGAGATGGAATGCCCCTACTTCTTACTAGGACATCCTAAGTTCATATGGACTTGTGTGTGTGGTAGAACACGTGCTCTGACACTACTCTGTCATGACCCAAACCCACCCCTATAGGTTTAGCGTTGTAACTGGCAGTAATCCTTGGATTACCAAAGGCCTTTTAATAGAATAATGTATAATCAAAGGGCTGCAGAAGCAAATATACAAAATATACGTAGTTCATTGAGCTGTGAAGACATACATGGGACAAATAATTTAAAACTTTTATAAACTTGTGAGTGACGTCAAAAGATACAGTATTTACACATCACTCCATAAACGTATTATCAGAAATCTTGACTGTAAATCAAAAGAAACAAAGTCTAGTACATTCACAAAAATAACCACTAAACTTGACTTAATCCGGAACCTCCTCGAGAGGCGCAAAGGTTGACTGACAAAAACTGAGATGCCAGGTCCTCAACTCTGAGCCTGGTTACACGCCAGATCACCTATATACATAATATAAACAGTAAGCGGAAGCCCAGTGAATAATAATGAAGTAAATGATTTAATGAATGAAGTCCATACTAGGTTTAGAAATTATAATTTAGATTTATAAACCGATTCATATTCATATTCATATTTTTGTTCAAATCATATACAGAAATCAGAGTTCATGCTTAATCATACGTGGTACATCCATTAGCGCTAACAGAACAGATATAGAACAGATGCAGAACATATGGTGGTTATGAGTAACCAGTTCCATAAAGGAACCTCCGAATCCAGGTAATAGAGAATAGATATGTTGAGCCCCATGATGGAGCCTCCGATACGCGTAACAGAGTGCAGACATATTAAGTTCCATAATGGAACCTCCGATACCAGGTAACAGTTAATAGATATCACATGATGCTAAGGATGCCACGAATACATTATTAGGAATTTGGACAATCATTCATCGTACAGAACATATCATTTCAGAAAATAGATTTTAATTCATTATACAAAAAAATAAATAAAGTTGAACATAACTTTACTAAGTTATTACTTCTTTTATTTTTTAAGTTTTTTTTTAAATTTTTTTATTTTTTTTTTTACTTTTTTATAACACCTTTTTTAAAAAACAGGTTGGCTTCGGGTGCAGGCAGACAAAGCAGAGCAGACTAATCAAACGGTTTATGGCACGTGACCTACATCAACACATAACAAATACACATTTGAAACACACGTTGGAACATACTTAACTCTTTACGTTCTATACGTAGTGTGTTTCTACACGCTATCCTCCTTATTATGCCTTAATCTTGGCCTAGGAATGCTTATGATAGAATGAGGATGTAAAAATGCATTTGAAAACACTAGGTCAAATTTTCTGAAAATAGGTCTACACTCGAGCGGGTGTAAAAATGTGAGGGGACGCTCGAATGCAACTTCCTCCACTCGAGCGTTCTGAAAATTTCGAACAAGTACTGGTTATGTGATTTTCACGCTTGACGAATGCTCGATGGTCGCTTGAATGTGAGACTCATTCCTCCGCTCGAGTGCAACTCTTGCCGTTCGAGCGGTCTGCAAAAGTATGTAACTTTTGAGAGCATGCAATTCACGCTCGAGCAAACTTTTGGTCGCTCGAGCGGAGATGCAAAAACAAAGGTGGCCGCTCGAGCGCGGAATCTCACACTCGAGCGGAGAACAAAATTCTGGAATTTCCAGATTGCTTGTCTTTGCTCAAAACTCGAATTCCACTTCTCAAAACTCATATTCTTGGGCCAAAATTCTGGAAAACATGTAGGAACTTGTAAAATGTTATGATTTGAAGATCATTTCATGAAATCAAGGCCCAAAAGTATGTCAAACATGCAAAAATTCAACTTAAAATGTAAGAACATGATATGAACTTGTCATGCATATATTCACTTGAGTTCTTAGCTTCCAAAACATGATCAAATGAGGTCCAATGGTGAGAAATGTTATAAACTCTTCAAACCATGCTAGAATTACAACATGCATTTGAGAGAAGCTTTGAAAACAATTTTAAAATGCTAGAAAACATGCATGCATGTATGGAATGACTTAGCTTTCTCCAATTCTAGCTCAATTCCCACATGAATTCACCTATTTTACTTGTATTCATGTGCTAAATGACTCAATTCCAAGGTTGCAAGGTTGAACTCTTACCTAGGCTACCCAATTGAGCTTCAATTAGTCAAAATCTTGAGTAAATTTTCAAATCTCCTAGCAAATTCCTTGTTGAAGACTTCTCCCTAGTCTCTCTCTCTCTACACGTTGTGTGTGTGTGTAAGAGAGCTCAAAATATGTTAGAATGAAGAAAAGAGTGAGTGAGAGCACATAAGAAGCCTTATACAAGCTTACCAAATGATAGTTAATTAAGGCTAATTAAGTGGCATTAAATTAATCCAATTTAATCGTTTCGAATCTAATTTCAATTAAGCCTACTATAAAATTCCAAAAATTCCAATTAACACAAAAATCAAGTCAATTTCTGAATCGGATGCTGATAAGGCCTTCAACTTGCAAAATTAAAATAGAAACATGAACAAATTTTCCTACGTTAAACATATATAAACACAAATAATGCAACACGCATGTAATTAATTCAAAATTTGATCTTAATAACTTATTAGACATATGAAATCATGGATTAATGTTAATCACGGGTCGGGATTGTTACACCTCACCCCCTCTCACCACCGACGCTCGCCACCGTCGCACATCGCCACTTGCAAATCACCAGCGCCACTTAATCACAGGTATTTTTCTCCCGCTCTGTCGCCCTCGGTCTCTTTCTCTTTGTTGTTCTCAGTCTTGATCCCTTTTTGTCGATCTCGCTCATTCTCTTTCTCTCTCTCTCTCTCTGTCCATCTCGGTTTCTCTCTCTCTCTCTCTCCCTTCCTCTATTTTCCCATTTCTCACTCGTAGCTCTAGGGTTTTATATGATTTTTGTTATTTGATTTTGTGTTGATTTCTTAACTCAAAATCCAGATTTTTGTATTCATTTTGTGTTGATTTCCTACACTTGCTATAGGGTTTTTGTTAATTTGTAGACAGAAACCCCAAATTCAAGCTCATGAGCTTAATTTGATTTTAGAAATATATTAGGTTAATGTGTGAGTTGTAAGAGATTTGGGTTTTGTTTGTACTGGGATGCTCATTGTACTGTTGAAATGTTGATGGTGTACATCTTTTTATTGTAATTCTCTTGTAAATTAGTGAGTAATGTTTGGTTGTTTTGTAGGCACTGTTATTGTTGAGTCAAACTGCTGGTTGATCTTTTATTTGTTTATAGTTCCCTTTCTTTTATTTTTTTTTAAAAAAAATAAATATTCTGAACTTTTATATAAACAATTTTTTTGCTGGTTTTTAAAGTTTTGTTTTTCGGGTCTTCAAGTTATGGTTTCTTGGATGAAGCTGTAAACTGGATGCACCTCTCCCTGTTTGGAAAGTTACATTTTTTTTTTGGCACCAAAAATTGTTTGCTGCTTTATTAAATTTCTGAACTTGGATCCCAATTTGTTTAGATGTTGAGGAAAGACAATAAATAGAGTTGCAATGTAACATGTTTGGGTGGCTGCTGAGGAGGAAATTGTAAATTTTTACCAAATTCAAACTTCTTATAAATGTGGCATGGAAACTTGTGTGGTTGGTTGACAAGTGGTGTCAAATTTGAAATCTTTAACGCTGTGTTTGGTTGGAGGATTTGAGGAGGAATTTGGAAAGGGTAAGAAAAAAGTTAGGTGAAATGTGAATAAAATATACATTCATTTTACCTAATTTCATACACTTTTTCCCTTTCCATTTTCAAATTCTTTTCCAAATCCCCCAACCAAACACAACATAAGTAATGTGCTGTAAATGTGAGCCAAAAGCCCCTCACCAGTGCCAAATCTGTAGCCAAAATGGCTTTGCCAAGTTTGCCACATCAGCAAAGGCAATAATCAACACTAGGTGCTTTTTGAGAAATTGATCCAATGGTAAAAATTGATATAAGATTGTGCAGATAGCATGGGATGAGAATCAATGGAGTGATATAGATAAAAAAATGTTTTTTTTGGGAGCACTATAGCAAGCAAAAAAAATGGATTTGAGTTTTTACCATTGGAGGCTTCTCAGTTATAACTGATATTATGGGGATGTCATTTAGTTGTCTCAAGAAACTTGTACTATTATTTTTTTGCTGTTTGTCCTTGAAAAAAACAACATTTGTTGAATTATCTGAACTAGCCTATTTTAGTACTGAGGTGTTGAATTCTTGATTCAATTCTTCATTCTTTCAGTATTCCAAATATACTGTTTTGACTTATTATTTTAATATTTAATACCATATGAATTGGTGTCTGGCTGTGCCGGTTACTGAAGTACTTAACCTTTGTTTTGTGTAATAAACACTCTGTCATTATGTTTATTAAATGATAGTATTATTTTATATGTCACTCTGATTACTGATATATATATATATATATATTTTCTTTTTTTGCTGTTTGTCCTTGAAAAAAACAACATTTGTTGAATTATCTGAACTAGCCTATTTTAGTACTGAGGTGTTGAATTCTTGATTCAATTCTTCATTCTTTCAGTATTCCAAATATACTGTTATGACTTATTATTTTAATATTTAATACCATATGAATTGGTGTCTGGCTGTGCTGGTTACTGAAGTATTTAACCTTTGTTTTGTGTAATAAACACTCAGACATAATTATGTTTATTAAATGATAGTATTATTTTATATGTCACTCTGATTACTGATATATATATATATATTTTCTCTTAATGTACATGCAGTTGGGGCTTTGTCAATTAAAATTGGTAAATGCTGGTTCTGTGCTCTTATTGGAAGTATCACCTACAGGACTTGATCAGTTTGTTGGAACTTCATTGATGTTCATATTTTTCAATGGAAAAAAAGGGGATCGATTTCTTCTTAATTTATATTACTATCTATGTTTTGATTCCAACACCTATACAGAAAAGCTTTTATCCATATCTCTCTCTCTCTCTATATATATATATATATGGATGTAGGACTTTAATTCTGCATTCCTTGTGTTGTGGGAATTGTATGCAATTGCCAATACTTTAAGTTGATTGTTTCCACCTTGCGGATTAATTAATTAATTATTTTTTATTTTAATAATTGGCGAAAATCACTTATCAGATTAGTACCTGTGGAAGTTGGTCTCCCCACCCCTTGCCCCCTTAATTCAACTCTCACTATGGAGAGTTGAATTGATGACCTCCCTTTAGGGACTAAATGCTTAGAAAAGTCAATGGTGGCATTTAATATGATGACTCTTCCTTTACGGATTTGATAAGTTGTTAATGTGATGGAAAAAATGACTCTCTCTTAATCTAAAGAACATTTAATAAAATGATTTAGAGATGAATTTTTAATACTTTTTTTTTTATTTTATAAAATTTAAATTTAATAAAAAATAAAAGAAAACATGAAGACAGGAAATGTTGTAGATAGAAGCTCTTATGTTCCTTAAGTGAATTCTAGCATCTTGTCCTGATGGGCCGTAACACAAAGCAAAATAATTGTTCAACTCATTTGGGTCACCCAAAGGGCTAGTCTTTCGGATCGAAAGGTATTGTTCATTTTTACCAGCTCACTACGTGTCTTATTTTGATAATTTGAATTATAATTTTTGTAGTGTTCTAAATTTTCAACAGAAAACTATTAACTGTTTGTAGTGCAAATTAGTTTGATTTGAAGATTAGTTAGGCAAGGATGGTGAGAAAGTGAAGGATTATACTAACTGATAGACATAATTGAAATGCTATAATAGGTTATTGTTGTTGCTACACAATCATATTAGAATCTATGCAATTGGCTTTGGCACTTAGAGATTGATTTGTATTTAAATTGTTTGTTATGACATGCTACCCGTCTGCCATTTACTTTTTTATTCGTTTAATTGTGACATGCTAAATCTTGTTGTCAAGATTTCATAGTAGCAGAGGACCTGTAGTTCGAACACTCCGAAGGACTTCATTCTGACATGGAAAAGGTAAGCACATGTTTTCTATGAAATATTCATTTTCCTCGAATTGATGACGAATAGGTACAATTACTTTATCAATTATGAAATGGTTGAACAGAGCACCTAAATGGTTGGGTTTGACATAGATTCATTTAATTTAATTGAAAAATGCCTTGAACTTAGGTTTCTTTTAGTTATATGAAAATTACTGTGGTAAAGCTACACCAGGCTAACAAATTTCAGTAACTGATTGAAAATTACTTGCTGTTTAGATAGATGGTGTTGAGTCACTGAACAATGTTTTGCTGATTGGAATGATCAACATGAAGGATTTGCTTGATGAAGCACTTTTGAGGTGACTTCTATAGTGCATTCCTCTTCTCTGTTGTGCTAAATAAGATTATTTCATTATGGTTAGCTAGTATAAAATTGCTGAATGTTTTGACATTTTAGTAAAACTTATTTTATATGGACAAGTTCCTAAATAAAGATTTCTTACTAACTTAGATTTTGTTTCTTCTCTGTCCTCTTATTGAATTAGATTTTGACTATTTTCTTTTCAGGCTTGGACATTTGGAAGTCCAAGTGGAGATAAGCCTTCCTGATGAGCATGGTTGCTTACAAATTCTTCAAATTCATACAAATAAGATGAAAGAAAATTCTTTTCTTGCTTTGGATGTGAACTTGCAGGAGCATGGTATGTGAGTTCTGTATTTTGTTAGTTATTGTTATTGCCATGATAGATCATCCAATGATTGGTTCTGCATTTTGTTAGTTATTGTTGTTGCCATGATAGATCATCCAATGATTGTTATCCTTTTCCACTTTAATTGTCTTTTCTCAAACTGGAATGATACTATATCCAAGCATTGTTAGTTAAGATTTTATGAGCATCTGTTCTAAGATTTTTTGTGGTTGGAAGTGTATAGTGAATACAATTATTTATTGGAGAAGCAAAGTAAAGAAAAATTAAGGGAAAAATATTCAAAAACCAATATTAACTCATTTTAAGCCTTGTTATATTATATTAATTTTTTGAATATACACAAGTGTGTTATATAATATTTAATATTTTATACAAGTATCAAACTTTGAATGGTGTTTCTGAGGCCATGTTGCAAATGAGATATCAAGTATTCTTTCTTTGATGAACCATTTATAGGTGTCTCAACATGCATTTTTACATATTTCCTTTTGTGATTGAACTTTATTTTTGTTATTATTTTTCTCACATGTTCTAATATCCTGAATGAAATGACACTGACAGACATTAATAAGTAGGGATAGTTTTATATCCAATCTAATGATTCAAGTGTCTTTTGCAAACAATTAATGAGAATGTTGTTAAAAAGAATACTTTCTATTCACATTGGGCTTTGATATTGGTTTAGTCACAGAATTTGGATAGATGTTGCATACAAATAGAGGACTGTTACATTAGCTTTATGCTAGTAATGACAGATTTGCTAATGATCATTCTGCATTTAACAATGTTCCTTATAACAAAAGACTTTAGAAAGACTGATAATTGGTTCATCATGGAAGGTTGCTTCTTTGAAATGTTATTTGTCACTTGTTGCCAAATTCATTCATGAAGTTGGACACTTTTGCATTTCTGTTAGTGTTGTAGAACAGGAATGGTCATTAAACCGCTGTTTGTAATTGCTAAAAAAGAAGAAGGAATAAATAAGAAAAAAGAAACTAGAGTAAGTGATTAGCACGTGTAGGTTGGGAGTGGTCATTAAACCGCTGCTTGTGACAACAAATAGGACCTGTTGCAAACCAGCCCCCGACCACTAAATGCATGTCACGGAAAGCTTCCTCGTGACAAATAGGACCTGTTGAAATAGACTGAATGTAATTAGCACGTATAAGTTGGGAGTTGGAGCCGAAAATGCCTTAAACTTAGTCGAAAAATGGCGTTTGGAGAGAGAAAAATGAAAACCAGCCCTTGACCACTAAATGCATGTCACGGAAAGATTTCGCGTAACAAATAGGACCTGTTGCAATAGACAGAATGTAATTAGCGCGCGTAGGTTGGGAGTTAGAGCCGAAAGCACCTTAAACTTAGTCCAAAAAGAGCGTTTGGAGGGCAAAAAATGTAAACCAGCCCCCGACCACTAAATGCATGTCATGGAAAGCTTCCTCATGACAAATAGGACCTTTTTCAACAGACCGAATGTAATTAGCATGCGTAGGTTGGGAGTTAGAGCCGAAAATGCCTTAAACTTAATCGAAAAAGGGCGTTTGGAGGGTGAAAAATGCAAACCAGCCCCCAACCACTAAATGCATGTCACAAAAAGCTTCCTCGTGAAAAATGGGACCTGTTGCAATAGACGGAATGTAATTAGCACATGTAGATTGAGAGTTAGAGCTGAAAATGCCTTAAACTTAGTTGAAAAAGAGCGTTCAAGGGGCGAAAAATGCAAACTAGCCCCTGACCACTAAATGCATGTCACGAAAAGCTTCCTTGTGACAAATAAGACCTATTTCAATAGATAGAATGTAATTAGCATGCGTAAGTTGAGAGTTAGAGCCGAAAATGCCTTAAATTTGGTCAAAAAAGGGCGTCTGGAGGTCGAAAAATGCAAGCCAGCCCCTGACCACTAAATACATGTCACGAAAAGCTTCCTTGTGACAAATAGGACCTATTGCAATAGACAAAATGTAATTAGCATGCGTAGGTTGGGAGTTAGAGCCGAAAATGCCAAAAACTTAGTCGAAAAAAGCGTTTAGGGGGCGAAAAATGCAAACCATCCCCTGACCACTAAATGTATTGCACGACCAGCTTTCTCATGACACATAGGACCTATTGCAACGGACGAAATGTAATTAGCAAGCGTAGGTTGGGAGTTAGAACAGAAAACGCCTTAAACTTAGTCGAAAAATGGCGTTCGGAGGCCGAAAAATGCAAAATAGCCCCCGACCACTAAATGCATGTCACAACCAGCTTCCTCGTGACAAATAGGACCTGTTGTAACAGACGGAATGTAATTAGCATGTATAGGTTGGGAGTTAGAGCCGAAAACGCCTTAAACTTAGTCGAAAAAGGGCATTCGGAGGGCGAAAATGCAAAACAGCCCTTGAACCACTATATTTATGTCGCGACAAGATTCCTCATGATAAATAGGACCTGTTGCAATAGACAAAATGTAATTAGCACGGGTAGGTTGGGAGTTAGAGCCGAAAACACCTTAAATTTAGTCGAAAAAGGCGATATGTGACGATTAAATTCTACAGCAAATGAAAAGGTTAACGGAGTAAGTGTTAACCTTGTCAGTATTGGAAGTTAAATTTTATGATGTAGTTTTGAACTTGGTATGGAATAGGCCACTCAAAATGAAATTACAAGTGTACTTTGCCCTTCATTATGTTACGAGACTCTACATTTCATGACAAAGCTTCAACCTGTTGGGGGTTAAAATAACCATAGGTTTATAGCATTTTCTTGTAATTTATGTTATCATTTTCTAGTCAGTTATGGGTTGATATCTGAGCAATAGTTCATTAGATTTATGCTTTGTTTTGCTATACACAATCCACATTACATCATCATAAGTACATATTCCCCAACAATTTTCTTTAATAGACTTTCACTATAAGTTCATGGTAAAATCTCTTTAATAGACTCAAGTCTTATTTCAACTTTCAGAAATGCAAATGCACCTTGTTCATTTGGGATAAAACAAAAATAAAATACATCAGTTATATGTTCTTAACGATACATATTCTACATGATATGGATGTTGATTATTCGTAATTACTATTTTTCGAATCTAATTAATGTACTCTTTCACTGTATGATTTAAATAAAGATAAGCATCGTAGTAGAGAGTAATATTGATTGATTAACTTGTGTTCTTTTGTCAATGGGGAATTAAATTCAAACTTCAAATAAGTGCACATTCAAGATACATATATTTATAAAAAATAAAAATATGACTTCATACATATATATATGATTTTATGTCCAACAAGGCATTCATAGGTTAAACCTAACTTAATTGCATGTTAAAAACTTTTTTGTATGGCTGATTGAACTGAGATTTTCTAATGAGTGCAAATTTTTTGTTTTTTGTTTTTTGTAGATGGCTTTTAGCGTAGACTTGTAGATAATCCATTTTTGTATATACACTTTTGTACATTCTTGCTAATTTTGTACAGAGGGCTTGATTTTTGTATGCTTCTCTGTTTTGTATGGAATTAATATTCCAGTTTGGACTATAGTTGGTTTATATGGAATTTGACATTTAAAGTTATTCCTTTTTGGATAGTTGGAAGTGAAATGGATGCAGCTTGTGGAATGATTGATAATATACGTATTGTTTTGTTTATATACATGCTACAGGTTGCACAGAATAAATACATGCTGAACAGAATGCATACAGGTTGTAGAGAAATTATAATTTTGAGAGAAAACATACAATCATGTTTTTGGCTTGATATGACACTAAGGAAATACATGTTTTAGTGACTAAATAGTTAGTAACTAAAAAAAAAAAATACAATGGAAAAAGCTTTTGGTGACTAAAAGTTTAGTAGCCAAATACCAATAAGATTTTAGACGACTAAACTGTTTAGTAGCTGATGCACAGCCAAAGATTTTTGACAACTAAAAGTTTATTAGGGAAAAAGGTTAGACTTTAGGTGACTAAAAAATTAATAGCTAAAAACCAATCAAACTTTAGGCGACCACAATATTTAGTAGCTAAAAAAGACAAGCTGGACAACAAAAACATTTTTTGGCGATTAAATGTTTAGTAGGGAAAAAGCTGAGACTTTAGGCGACTAAAATATTAGTAGCCAAAAATTAATCAGCCTTTATCCGACTACAATATTTAGTAGCTAAAATCATTTTTGGCAACTAAAAGTTTAGTAGCCCAAAACAATATGACTTTACGTGACTAATAACTTTAGTAGCTGAAAATGTCATATATCTAACAATATGACTTTAGGATGAAAAAAAAAAACCTTTTGGCGACTAAAAATTTAGTTGCTGAAAATGTCATATTTAATTTTTTGTCAATGCGTTTTGGCGTCTAAAAAAAGTAGTCGGCAATTTACTATTTTTGGCGACTAAATTTGTTTTAGTCGCCAATTACCTTTCTCGACAAGTCTTCAGCGACTAAGAAGCCGACCAAAAATTTTAGTCGCTAAAAACCTTCGGTGACTAAAACTTGACTTTTGGTGACTAAAAATATAGTCGCCAAAAGTGCAATTTCTTGTAATGACACAAGAGTAGAGAGAGGAAGAATTCAATGAAGAAGAATTATCAACAATGGTTGTTCAATAATTTGAGCGAAAGAGAGAAGTTTGAGTAAGAAATAGAGAGAGCTGATGCACAACTAGGACAAATCAAGGGAAAGAAAATAGAGTAGAGAAAAAAACGAAGAAAAGTTGGGGAAAAAAAATTAGGAGAAAATTTATTTAGTATAACAAAATAAAATCACGTCATAGATAATTTTTTTCAACATATTTTTCATTAAAATTTAGTTAAATTTTATATATATATATATATTTGTCTATAAGTGTATATAGATATTTTAAAAAGAATATCGTTTGTATATTACTATTTCTATTATATTTAATGAAGATATTATGACTAAAAATAAATCTAAAATAGAGATAGGTGATCAATTGGAATTGTCACTTAGAGATGACACTTCAAAATTAATTGAGAGAGTTCAGAGTTCAGAGTTCAGAGATAATGAGAGTTTGAGAGACAGATTTGTTTGTGAGAAATAAAATGAGAAAGAGGTGGTATTTATAGGACTTGGGAGGGAGGGGTTAATTTATATATATAAAAGTAAAAAAAAAATAAAATTGGCTATTGGTGGAATTAACGGTTATATAACCGTTTCAATATTTTTTTAAAATTTTTGATACCGTTGCACTAATAGGGAGACAGGGAGCCGTTGGGTTGGATCGGGCCAGATAGGGAAAAAAATTTCAAGTCGAGCTCATGAGATGGGTCACACTCCATAACACACCAGAGTCGGGCCAGGCTCTAGAACACATAGCCCAGGGTCTTAGGTTGGGCTTAGGCTTAAGCTTGGTTGGGCCCACCTACGGCGCGACTGGACTTGGGGTGTGCCGCGAGCTCATGGGTCAAATTTACACTCCTATTTGTGGGTATTGGTTATGAGATGTGTGATTAGTGGTTATGATATATGTGATGTTGGTTATGAGGCAAATGGTGTAGGTTATGAGATGTGGTTATTACATAAGTGAGTAAAGGTTATGAGATATATGATTAGTGATTATTAGATATGTGACTTTGATTATGAGCAGAGTGGTGTAGTTATAAGTCAAAGGGTGTTTCGTTATGAGATATATAACTAGTGGTTAGATATGTCATGTTGGTTATGATCAAAGCAGTGTGGTTATAAGATATGTAATTAGTAGTTATGATATATGTGGGTAATGGTTACGAGATATTTGATTAGTGATTATAAGATATGTGATTTTGGTTATGAGCAAAGTGGTGTCAAAGGATGTTTGGTTGTGCTATATGTGTTAGTGGTTATGAGATATGAGATATTGGTTATGATCAAAATGGTGTGATTATGAGCAAAAGGGTTATTAGTTATGAGATATGTGGTTAGTGATTATGAGATATGTGATGTTGGTTATGACTCAAACGAGTTGGTTATGAGATGTGGTTATGATTCATGTGAGTAATAGTTATGAGATATGTGATCAATAGTTATAAGATATATGATATTGGTTATAATCAAAGTGGTGTGGTTATGAACAAAAGGGTGTTAGTTATGAAAAAAAAGGTTGTAAGTTATGAGATATGTGACTAATGGTTATGAGATATGTGATGTTGGTTATGACTCAAAGAGGTTGGTTATGAAATGTGGTTATGAGATATGTGATTATGGTCATGAAATATGTGATATTAATTATGAACAAAACGGTGTTTGTTATGAAATGTGGTTATGAAATATGTGATATTAGTTATGACCAAAATAGTGTTGGTTATGAGATGTGGTTATGACTAAGTTATGATCAATTTGATTATAGTTATGAAGAAACATGATTTTTGCTCATAACTATAAAAAGTGACCTGTTTAGTAGGTTACTTTTAATGATGTGACTCAATTTTAGTTATTGATTTTGCTATGTATCGTACATTTTTTAAATAAAATTGTGAGAATATATTTTCTGAGTACCAACACGTGGCAAGGTGACGCCGACGTGTCAGCCGAGGTGCCACGTGTCCTGGTCGTGACGCCGAGGTGATCTCGCCAAGGCCGAGGTTATCTCCGAAGATATCGAAATCCGAGATAAGTGGAAAAGGGACAAGAGTCCTAGAATGAAGAGGGAACTCAACTTGGATATGGACAAGAGTCCTAGATTGGGAGAAGACTTCAGTTTGGGTAAAGATAAGACTCTTAGAGAGTTTATCCTAATCCCACTGGGAGTCCCAGATTAGCAGTAATCCTAAGTCCATTAGGGCCAGGCTCCTATTGGGACTAGGATTGTATTGGCTATAAAAGAGAGGCACCCCCATGGGTCTAAGGTATGCTTTTGATACTCAAGCTTGTGAGTTTAGTACTTGATTTATCTTTGAAAGGTATACTGAATTGATCGTCGGAGTGCCCCCGGGTGGTCGAAACCACCGCGGGATTCTTATATTTCTGTTGTAGGTCAGTTAGGTGCCATCTATTCTGCCAGTGCTCTCCAGCTGGTTACTAAGCGGGCAGTGTG